ATAGGGGATCTGTTCAGCATAGTTGTTTTAATTTAATCCTGCAGTGTTCTGCAGGAGTTGAGTAGGAGCAGAGAAGGTGGCTTCTATGGGTAAATCCAGGATTGGAGTTTGTCAAGAAAAGACAAGGGATTCGGAGGTTGAACTGGCCAAGCACCGGGTCAGAATTGTGGAGGGAGGAAAGGAAGGACAGAGGACAGGTGATAGCTTGAGAGAACTGGGAAAGGCGGAGGGACTAGAGGTCATCCATCGAGTAGGTGAAGAAGTATGGGAGGGTTGCCGCAAGAAGAGGTGGGTGGGGAGGAGGTGTTGCTCCCAGAGTAGTTTTAGAGGTTAGGATCGCCCTTGTGGGTGACTGAGATGTAGTGAAACAATAGGCCACGTGGGTTAAGAAGGCTGGTGACCTGAGAGTGTTTGAGGGGACATTAATATGCATATTGATGACCTGAGTATAAGGGCTGGGGCAGAACTACAGAGGAAGACTGTAAGCCAGGTCCTGAACTCCTTGTGAAGGAAAGGAGACAGATCTGAAGGTTGGTGGATGACTGCCACCAGGACCTGGACCAGATGCCGTGGATGGTGGAATGTGCCTCAAGGGAGCAACATGCCACTTCTTCCTCCTCTTCTCCCAGTCCATGAGGCATCCGGAGAAAAGAAACTACCCAAAATGCTGGGAGGCTGAAGCCACGCTTCACGAGCCCCGGATGATGGAAATAGAGACGGATGACGAGATCTGGGAGAAAGAGTCTGTAAACAGCAAAGTTGGGATTCCCAAGGACTCAATGTCATGAAAGGGCAGACTCGAGGATATAGACCTGGAGGGGGCAGGAATGGATTATGGGGAGTGGCGGCGGGGGAAGGGTTTTCACACCAGCAGCTAACTGAATCATAGGGGCACGGATAGCAGGAAGTAGGAGGTTGCCAGCTCTACAATAGCAGAAGAATCAATTGATTGGACCTGCCTCCCTATTGAAACAAAAGGAGAAGCAAAACCCTCGTAATAAAGATGCATTGTCAAGCAAAACAAATTGCCCCCTAGACACTTGTCCAAAACTGTGTGTCCTAACTCTGCGTCTTGGATGGATCCCCTCTCTGTCTGAAGGTGGATAGACGGCGTGCTCCAGCACTGGTCCCTTGGAATCATGGTTGGGGATTGCGTTGATCAAAGTTAAGTCTTTAAATGCTATTTGTCATTATGATATTATCTCTCAGTTTTCTGGGGACCGCTTTCCAGTGTCCTCTGATGACTTAAGCCTGTCCACGTGTGTGAGGTTGTGGTCAGACTTCTTCAGTCTTCACTTCAGGCATCAGTGAGTGGGCAGATGCATGTAGATGGCAGGCCAGTAAATATTTGGACTGTGCATCCCCTCGGTCAGACTGAACTCATATTGCATCCTCATGCCAAGGTAGTGGAGGATAAAGCACAGTCAGAAAACCCTCCTCCCCAGCCGTGAATGGAGGAAGCTCAACCCCCCACCCCCACCCCGGGCTCTGAGTCATTGCAAGAGGAGCAGAGCAGTGTGCCCAGTGGCTAGGGCCCCGGACTTGGAGCCCAGAGCGGCTGCGGCCAGCTTTAACTTTTGTTCTGGATGCTTACGGGCTGTGTGGTCCTGGGGACATCACTTAACATTCGTTTCCCACCACATGCTCTGCTGGGTTTCAGCTCCATCATCACCTTCATCATGTGCTTCCCGGGATAAACTTAGCACCAGGAAGCTCATCCTCACGGACGGTAGCCTCCGAAGCATCTGCTCCTGATTGCTGACCTAGAGGGAAGAGCCCAAAACTGCCCCCGTAGATTGCTTTCAGAGAGGGCGCAGAATGCCAGCCATCTCACGCCCTTGTTGCCAGTACCCTCGGGCACTCCTCCACCCTTCAGCTTCCTTTTTCCTGTTGTCTCCCCCATTAGAGAGGAGGTTTCTTGAGGGCAGGGAATTTTCCATTTAGCGTAGTGCCTGGAACGCAGTAGGTGTTTAGTAAATGTTTGTTGTATTTTGTGCCTAACTTTGTCTTTTTCCATTGGTAAAATAGAGAACGGCAGTACCAACTTCCCAGAATTGAGAGGCTCGAATCAATGTCTGTAAACGGCAAAGCCTGAGCTGCTCAAAGAGTGGATGTTACTCTCACTACTTTACTCCTAGTAGTCTTTGTGGTGGCCTGAGGCGCAGGGGGTCAGACAGGTGTGTGAATCCCCTTTGGCCTAGGGCCCTGGTGGGTAGGGATTGTACTGGACTCACTCCCGGGGCCAGCCCCCACATCAGGGGGGCCTTTCCAGGCTTTCAATTCCTTCCATCTTCTCCTCATCTCCATTGATATTTGGGATCGCACGTTTCATTTGCATGTAATTGGCATATTCAGAAATAAAATAGTCAAAGAGATCTGGATTCCAAATGCTGAAGGAGATTTTGTTCTCTGCAAGGACCAGAAGTTAGAGTTGAAGCAGGTTGTGCTATTTTTGTGTTTCTAATACTTGCCAGAAAGGAAAATTGTTTTCATCTAGGCCTCTTGAATAAATGTAAAGGTCTAAATTTCCAGGTACGTGATGAATATAGTTCCTAGGAAACAGATGCCTTTAACAAGGTACAGTAATATTTTACTTAGAAGCAGTTGGGCACAGCACTAACATTAACCTTGCCATGTTGGGTTTTGTATATCTCTTTGGCAGAAGTTTGGGGGGGACTTAAAAGTGCTTTTTGTCAACTAATCGCTCTCATCAGTTATGAACCTAGGAGTTTCATAGCAGCCCTGGATCTGAATGTTGATGTTTGCCATGATGCAGATGGGAGATATTGTCTGGTTTTATTTTATGACCACCCAAAAGTTTACCTTGTTTTGATTTAGCAATAAGAACGGTTCCTAAGAGCACAGATCTTCCACATCAGATAAAACATTGATGGTCTCTGCTCCTTCTTTATTTTTACCTCCTGTTTCCCTTTGTGGATTTATTTGATAATCTCGGGCTGTAGTTCTTCACATCACTTGTGACAAAGAATTGTGGCTATCGGTTGCTGTCGGTCACCCACTGCTGATGCACTGCTAAGAAGGGCTGGGGGGAGGGGGGGAAGGTGTAGTGAATGGTGGGAAGAAGTTTATAGTTTGAGTGACTCCACTGCTAGAATTTTCTGAATCCTGACTTCAAACGTTGTGCTTGCTTGTCCCCATAAGGAAGTTGATCCAAGAAATACTTTGTCAAGTGACATAGTCTGATTCTTTTCTTTGGACGCTATGGTTACCATGCCTGCATGTGGACCCCTAAGCTTGTATTTCTTGAGTGCCGTTCTTCTAGAGCAATCATCAGGAGGCCGTGTGCGGAGAAAAGTCCAAAAAGTGGGGGCGTGATTGAGCCCCCAGAGCACAGTCTAGGCTAGGCTCTAGGGTAAGACTGACTTCACTTGGCCTTGGGCCTTCTGTCTTTCTCTCCTTTTTAACAGAAAACATCAGAGTAGGGATGGTTGTTAGTGCCACAAAGTTGTGGTAGGGGTAAGATAAAATTATTCAAAACTACCAAGGACCCCACAGATACGAGGGGTCACCATGGACTGTCCCAGCCTTGGCTTGTTGGGGCCATTAAGGTCTCCTTTGGGTGGTAGGAGAGTCACAAAAGTACCAGTTGCCTAGTGCTAATTTTCGGATGACTTTGATTCATTTTAATAATCTGTCTCGTGGTAGGGACTAAAATGATTATTGTTGTTTTTCTAAGAAAAATTGGCTGTGTATTTCTTGGGCCCATTTGCTTCAGCTTACTGTTTGTAGAAACACTGTTGACAGAAACCATGGGGCTGTGATGTTTAGTCTTCTGTTGGAAGGGCATGAAGATTTTTTCCCAGGGAAGTCCTTAACATCATCCTTTGGGGTGGGGGCGGGGCGAGGTGGGGATATTAAACCCTTAGTGAAGCTTGGAAGCACGGAGATCAAGCCTCAGAGGAAGGGCGAGCCGACAGGAGCTCTGGAGCTGGACGTTGGTTCCAGTTTTCCCGTTAGGAAGAGCCTGTGCTGACCCTCTCTGTCTCCAGCCGCTGAGGGCAGAGCACAGCCCCAAAGAATGACTCCCCTTCTGACTGGTCCATAGTCCACTTGGTTGTTTGCTTTGAAGAAATTGCAAGGTGGGGAAGTTGATGTTTCAGGCTCTGATTTCAGTCCCTGCTGGGCTATGCAAGTGTTCTCTGCATGCCTGCGTGACCTTTTGAAAAAGAGCCTTTGTGATCTCCTGTAGCCAGGGCCTGTTTTGGGAATTGTGGGCCAGATCCCACTAAAGTGGGAAAAGTGGGTCTGGCGAAGGTGCTCTTCCATTAGGGAGGACAGCAAATGCTTTGCCTGTCGGAAGGTAAATAAATCCAACTTTCTCCTTGCGTTTGCAGGAGCGTGACACTTTGCTTGGCAGTTTTCTCTGTAGGTTGGTTGTGGAATGAAGTGTGACTGAGGAGAAAACTGAGGCAGTCCCTGGAGCTGGGACAGCGTTTACTTAGATGCTTCAGGATAACTGATACAAGGAAGTGACCTCAACGTAAGCCCAGATGTGCAGTGTGGCATTGGCTCTCTGGCACAGGACGAGTTCAGAGTTGGGGGGATTGATTTCCAGTTTAAGGTTCTGAGAGTCTCTTTGTCTCTATTATGCAATTGTCAGTTGGTTTAAAATTTTTTTTCTGCAGCATTAAAGTTCATAGAAAAATATTTTATTTTAGAAACTTCAATATTTGCTCTGATTTTTGAGTGAATAGGTTTTAAAAGTAGAATCACTTGAAAAGTTGATAAGGGAAAAATTCATAATTTTCACTGTTTTTGTTGTTTTTACTGTATGTTGCTGGGGAGGGAGGATTTTATTTTTCCCTTTTCATAAATGACCTTCCTGATACAGGGTCTTCCTAGATTCGAATCAGGATGAAATCACACAATAATTTCTTTGTAAAAATTCTGAAAACTGGATTTCACAGAAGGTAGACAGCTGTTTATTGATTAGCGTATAGCATCGGAACTCCCGGTTTTACTTGTTAAGGTTTTCCTTCTTTCCTAACTGAAATAATTCTTTTTCTTTGTGAGCACGTCAGCCACGCAGATAAATCACTTATTATTTAGCCAAAGTGGAATGCATAGGACAGTCTAAGAATTAATTATTTGTTGTCCCCAGAGACTGTGGTCCTTGAGGTAAGGAGCGAGGATGCTGGAAAGTCCTTGAGAATAAGATACAGTACAGACCTTTGTTTGGTGGCAGGTTGAGATAAACGCAAGCCATGAGTTGTGATGTTTAGTCTTCTGGTAGAAGGGCATGACGAATGTTTTTCTGTAAGTCCTTACCGTTCTCTTTTCTCCTCTGGAGGTAGGTGATATTATTGCTGAACCCTCAGTGAAACTCGGAAACGCAGAGACCACACATCAGAACAGATGGATAATGGAGACTGGGCCTATATGGTGAGTACAGTGTCGCAGCTCTGTGTGTGTAGGTTGCAAAGTGTAGTAGCTGAGTGACTTTTATTTTTCTTACATGCCCACACAGGCTCTTTAACATGAATTTTAAAAAAGTAAATAAGTTATAAATTCATACATGTAATCTGTGAATTAGAATAATCTGGACTGTGACATTTATTAGATTCTATTATTTTTGAGGTGTTGTAATATATTTAATAGTATATTTATATATTCCCATCCAATACAAGCATCTCTTTTAAATACTAAAGTTTAATACTAGCCAATGAAATCAGATTATGAAATTTAAAGCTTTGCTCTTTAAATTTTGCTTTCTTCATGGAGCTCTAACTGCATTGAAGTGAAGTTCATGGAAAACAATTATCCATTTATTTTGTAGTTATGGAAATTAGTGAGATTTATTTTTGTAATTTAGTGGATAAATGCCACCGCCATAAATGTTAGCCTTTTCCCCAAAAGAATCACAGCAAATGTGAGATTATTTTTGTATTTTTCTACCTTTGGTTAGGAAGTACTTTTCTTATTAAATCCTGATCTCTTACTGGTATGGGAGAGTAAGACTGAAGGGTCATGATGATTTGGAGAAGATGCTTCTTCTCAAAATTAAAGGCAAGATTATGACATTAGCATTACAAATATAAGCAAACTGTCAGGATATGGAAACTTAAAAATAGCATTGTCTGCCTTGCATATATCATAGTTTTGTGGTCAGGACGTAGGGATGAGGCAATAGCATTTAGCTTACTTACTAATACAAGTCATTGGTTCCATAAAAAACATGCAGGCTAAATTTTGCTCATGTTTTGGTCTTAACACAACAATTTTGAGCTTTGCTTTTTTTTTTTTTCCTCTTTTTGAGGAGAAGTAAACAGAGGAAGTATCAAGAAGAACTTTTTGGGTCATCATCTCACTTTTCTGTTCAGTAAAATGACTCCCTTGGTTTAGGGTAGTTGTTTCTCAGTTCCTGTGCTGCAGAGGTTAACTTGGCAGTCAGTTAGAGTTTCTCACACTTCTCCATTACTGAGTAAAGACTGCGGTAGAGCCTGGGTCATGCCATGTACCTGGAGACAGAGAAGTATGGTGGCTCATTGAACGGCCTGTAAGGCAGATGCTAACACCTTAACCTTCAGCCCTGCTATTGTATGTGGTCATAGAGGCAGGGCTGGTGTATTCTAAGTAGTTGTTTTAAATGCAGTTTTTGTTTTTAGATTGTCTGACTCTGACGAAGCTGAAGCTTGGATTTTTAGCAACTCTAGTTTGGATAGTTTTTTTTTTTAAATGAGAATATAATTGTAGCAAATATCCGTCTTCTTGGTCTGCAATATTTCTCTCTCTAATTTTGGCATCTCTGAAGCACCTGGTGGTGCAGTGGATAGAGCAACGGGATTGGAGTCAGGAAGACTTGGTTTCAGATTTGGTCTCAGACACTTACTAGCTGTATGACCTTGGGCAAATCACTTAACTTCTGTTTGCCTCAGTTTCCTCAACTGTAAAATGGGGATAATGATAGCACCTACGTCTCAGGGTTGTGAGGATCAAATGAGATAATATTTGTAAACCACTTAGCACAGTGCCTGGTGCATAGTAAATGCTATATAAATGATAGTTATATTATTATTTAGTTTTTTATAGCTTTTAATAAAAATAGAAATTTATAAGGTTAAATTTCAAATATACTATATTTTAAACTACATTAATCTTTTTTGGTAGCATCCTCTATTTGGAAAAGTATTCCCTTTGGTTATGACAAATTGTATATATCTGGAAGCAATATACTAAGTAGTTCCTTATTTTCAGAGTCAGGCTTTGGAAAACAGTACCTTCCAATTTGGGTGGTTTCTTTTTTATTCTATTGAAAAAGGTCTTTAAATTTAGCAGTAATATTATACCCGTGGCATTATTTGTCATTGAAATTAATGGAATAAACCTAATTTCCTGTGTGTTGCTGGTGTTTAACAATACAACATGGATTCCTCTCCCAGCCTGAGTCATGCTGTCTGTTGTGTTTTCAGATGACTGATCCAGTCACATTAAATGTCGGGGGCCACTTGTACACGACCTCCCTCACCACTCTGACGAGGTATCCTGACTCCATGCTGGGAGCCATGTTTGGGGGAGACTTCCCCACAGCCAGAGACTCTCAGGGCAACTACTTCATTGATCGGGATGGACCCCTTTTCCGATATGTTCTTAACTTCTTAAGGACTTCAGAGCTGACTTTGCCTCTGGACTTTAAGGAGTTTGATCTGCTTCGGAAAGAAGCTGACTTCTACCAGATCGAGCCCTTGATTCAATGTCTCAACGATCCGAAGCCTTTGTATCCCATGGATACTTTTGAAGAGGTCGTCGAGCTGTCCAGCACTCGGAAGCTCTCCAAGTATTCCAACCCCGTGGCGGTGATCATCACACAGCTGACCATCACCACCAAGGTCCACCCTCTGCTGGAGGGCATCTCCAACTACTTCACCAAGTGGAATAAGCACATGATGGATACCAGAGACTGCCAAGTGTCCTTCACTTTTGGTCCCTGCGATTACCACCAAGAAGTCTCTCTGCGCGTCCATCTCATGGAGTATATTACAAAGCAAGGCTTTACGATCCGCAACACACGGGTGCATCATATGAGCGAGCGGGCCAACGAAAACACAGTGGAGCATAACTGGACTTTCTGTCGCTTAGCCCGCAAGACAGATGACTGACCCATGACCCCAGGGGAAACTGGTGGATGCTGGCTCACAGATGAAAGGTTAAAAAAAAAAAACACCCCTGTGGGCTTAAAAAAAAAATCTGTATTTATTTAAAGGATGTGAGGACTGGAAAAGAAATTTGTGCTTATCAAAACTTCTCTCCTCTCCCCTCCTCCCCTTTTGTCCCATTCACACCAAGTATGCATGTGCCTGTTCAAATTCTCAAGATACCATTTTTATAAAAAGAATTCTAAAAATCATTATGGTCTGTAATCTACCTGTTAACAGAACTTTTTCTATTACAGTGCTAAAATTATTACTGTTTAAATGGTTCCTAATGCAACTACAAGGCTAAAAACACTGGAAATGGAAGAATCTGCAGGGTACTTGTTATGCCTTTGAGAAAATCAAAACTTGATGAGGGACCTAGTTTCCAGGCCAATAAACAATGTTGGGATATGAAAGGAAGCCCTGCTCCAATCGGTTTAAAGTACTTGTTAAGTCCTGCTTTTTCTAGCTAGGACGACGTTTCTTTCTATGCATATAAATCAAGCAACCAAATATCTGTAGCCATGGAAATGTTGGACTAGAAATGTTTATATTGGATTTTGAACACAAAATGTCCCCATGGTAGAAGTCTTACTTTTTATGCCTGGTGCAATATTATTCCCAAGTGTACTGCCTGCCCAAAAGAAGCTAATAAAAAAAAATGAAATATGGAAATTAGGATTGGATTCACTGATTATTGTTGGTAACATGCTGCCTATGTGAGAGTGTGCACTTTTTTTCTTTAAATAATTTCAGTATCATATTTTGGAGAGGTTATTGATGGCAGCGTAATGATCACAGCATTAAAATAGTAACATTTGGAAGACATGGACTCTTTCTGGCTGTCTAAAATGAACACGTTGGAACAGTTTCATTTCATACTGTCTTTTTAACCCAAGCTTGTGCTCTGGCATAGTCCCACCGAATACATCTCTAATGTCCAGGTTTGAGCTCACTAGTCTGATTTTGCTGCTTCTGTGGTAGGCAGAAGAATCTGCTAAAAACCAGACCCGGCTCAGCTCAACTAAAGCCTCTGTGGTGCTTGAGATTTTTTTTTCACATTTATTAATTTCATTTTTAATTTATGGAATAAAATTAGCATTTCCATGTGGTGCTTGAGATTTTTTAAAAAAATTAATTCTTCTTATGTGAATGCAGATAGCCTTGCCACCATGAAAAAAGTACAACCATTCTCTTATTGTAATGTTTTATTTTATATGATTTTTATTCGGTTCAGTTTCCTGCAGCAAAAAGGATTAGCTATGATAGCTACAATTTGCTGATTGCTAGAGTATCAGGCTGCTGACATTTCTTGCTTGGGAAGATTGCTTCACAGCTGCACACCCCAGGTCACAAGACTAAGGTTAAGTCCTTTCACCTCTGGCTCTCCAAGTGTTCCTGACTAGGCTGGCTCATTTTACTGATGCGACGAATATCCATTCCAGAGCCAGCAAACAGAGCAGGAAGGGACCCTAGGAGCAAAGCCTGTAACCTCAACCATCAGCGACAAAATGGCAGAATTTTCCCATGAAACTTCTTTGTCCAGTTTAGTTAATGGCCGAGTTCCTGTATTATAAATACAACTTTAACGAAACCTTAGCAAGCTGACAGTTACACTGATTCAGGTGGCTGTAAATTGGGTACAACAGAGTTGTAAATTCCGCTTGTGTTTCCTTTCTATAAAATTCTTGTCACCTTGTTAAGTTACGGAAACCCCACCAGTTTAGGGAGGTCCGTCACTACGTGAGAGAGGCTTTTGGAGTATTGGAAGAGGCAGAAGACCAATTGAATCCAGTTTAAGAAACATTTTAAACTCAGGATGAAACGTTCTCAACATCTTTTTTTTTTCTTTGTTCACAGTCACCTGGTCAAGTCAAAAGCCTTGAAACCAAAGTCATTTTCAGATTTTTAAATGATTAGTACATTGTTCCGTTTAATCATATAACAGCTAAATGTTTAAATGGATTAGTTGCAATCTTGAATTGGTAATATATTCATTTGATTTGTGGTAGGATATTCCATAAGAAAATGGTGTTTGAAATAGAGGCAATCTAGTACTTTAATAGTTTTAAATCTGTGTAAAAAATCGGGTATAATTAATGCTCTTCAGAGGATTAGGCTGATTTGATTATTAGCTCCTGCTTGTATCTATAGGTTTCTTTTTGTGAATTTAAGAAGTTTGTCAAGAACTAGGCACTTGATGAGGAAAGTTTATTTTTTCACAGAATCTGTAGAACAGTACTGCTGCAGGAACCCATCTAATGGCTAATGATTTGCTTAACTTTTTCTCAGCTTAAGTACTCTGGATTTCCCTGTATCACATATTTATAAATTTAGAGGGTGATTTCATTCTGCTTCTTGAATGAAAAATACGGTTTGTAGTTGGCAAATCTCATAATTTGGATCGGTTACTTTTTAAGAATGGCTTCAGGTATTTCTCATAGGCAGGATTTCCCTGTTTGGAGAAAGAAAGAGATATTAAAATTGACCATTTCAACCAAGATTAACGTCAGTTTTTTGTTCACAGCTAACTCTACATTGGAAAGATTACATAAGATTCTTAATTTTTATTTTTTTAAAGAATTCAGGCTGTGTGAACTTATGGAGAAACATTTTTCAAAGGTCAGCCTCCTTTTTTTTCCAGTGTAGATTTCATAGTGTAGGTGCACAAGGCCAGTTGCAAAGTACAGCAGCTCAGTCTTTTGTCTTAAAGTTTCGACTTGATGAACATTTATCAAGTGAGGGCATCGTGCTTGGTGGAGAGGATATGAGGATAAAAACATATACATTCTTGGGCCTCATGAATAGGTATCTCTTTCTGCATAAGGTTCTTTGAAACTGAGGGAAAAAAGTATTTTCTGTCCTCAGGGACTAGACAAAGTTTACCTATTCACCTGAGCTGCTTGCTTTTGTAGCAGCAAAGGGTAAAGATGCCAGATATGTGGGGTAGAGTGCTCTTAATTTCAGAACCCAAACCTCTGTTTTGTCCCATTTTACCCCCTTCCACTCCTTCCCAGTGCAGCAGAATGGGCTAAGTGGAAAGAGCCATTCCTCATGCCTCTGTTCGTCTGACATAGGCCTCAAATTTATCAGAATAAGACATTTAAAAAATAAATTGGCATGAAAAAATATTGGTAGGACTTTTCAAGCCACGTTCCACAATTAGGGCTGAAATAGACTCAGTCAGTGAGTCCAGCTGGTTGGAAGGTTAGACCCAACAAGCAGATAGCCTTGGGATAAAGGCCATATTTAAATGACCTCAAGTATTCTCCCCATTAAAAAAAAAAATATTGAGAGTAGTGAATCAAAGAAAGGCAGATTTGGGATCCATGAAATGAAAATTTTCCTAATAACTAGAGCTGCTTAGAATGGAATGGGCTGCCTTGGGGAAGCATGGGCTCCTTGTTCCTAGAGGTCTTCAGGGGGAAGCTGGATGAATACCGGGGGATATCAGAGTAGGGATTCCTGATGGGTTATGAGTCAAACCAAATGACTTCTGAGGTCCCTTTCAACTTTGAGTGCTGGTGACTTTTTTTTAAAACTCCTTACACTAAAAAAATAAATAAATAAAACTCCTTACACCATATCCAAAAGTATAACTGTGTTTCACTGTGAAATTTTCTCTCTCTCTCCTTTCCCTACCCCAACAAAAAGAAAAAAATTCGTAGTGTACGGCTGATATATTAAATTGAACCTATCCCTGATTGCATGGCATTTCCATTTGTAGGAATTTAAAAAATTTATACACTGCGGTTTTCTGCCTATGTAAATAGGTTAAAATATATTTTGTGACAACTGATTCAACTGTTTGTGGAGATTCTGGAGGTCAGCTAGGTTCAGTCTGAACCTTTGACCACTGAAACTTTTGGGGCCCTCAAGGTATTTGAAATGACACATTCTTCTAATCAGAGTCACTGTATTCTGAAAATCCATATAATAATGTAGTCGATTAGGTGTAGAGTTGAGAGTCTGCCATTGCTAGAGTAAAGAGGCCACATAGTCTAAAGCCTCACTTTGTATGTGCATCATTGTTCAATAGGGTGACCCCTCATCAGCTTTAAAATTTAACAATTCACCAGTGCGATTCCCTGTTTACACAGAAATAGGGGTATTTAAAAGCCACTTTATAGATCTCCTTTCAGAGTGATACATGATGCTAGCATTACAACAGTGTTCTGTGTGCTGACATCCGTATGGCAATAATACAGAAATCAGCTAATTAAAGACTCAAGTGCTTTTGGGATATACAGTTAAAAGCTACATATATATATATATTTTTTTCATGGTAACTTGGAGAAGAAGGACCCGATTCTTTTGCATTTAGTAAACCTGGTTTTACTCAGAACATTTGAGTTATTTTGGATATAGAGGAGTGGGTTGTTTTTTCTTCTTGCATACCAAAGGGGGAAAATGTGTATTACCATTTAGCCATTTGAAAATTACATATTTTACATATTATATATATATATATGTGTATAGATACACACACACACATATATATATGTGTATAGGTATGTATGTATGTATGTATCTGTCTATCTATATGTATCTATATATGTTGTGAGTTTACTTTTCAGATTAGATCCACTAGTCTGGGTAGGAATACCCTTTTATTTCTGTTTTAGGATTTGTACTATGATATCACAGAACATTAGAGCTGGAAGGTACTTTAGTTTCCTTCTCTATAAAACAAAGAGTATTAGATGGTCTCTGAGTCTCAGAGCTAATTAGCAGTAGCGTCCAGGTCCTAATATAATCACAGAACTAAAATCCGGGGCCATTTAATCTGAACCATAGAGGTAAAGGAATCCCCTTGATATCTATAGGGATTCATTCATCAAGCTTCCACCTGACTGTGAACAAAATCTCCTGGACAACCCACCGTCCCCACCCCAGTGGTTGTCCAATCAATGCCAAGAAACTTCAAATTGAGTGTCCACTGTTCCCCTCAGAGGCAGCCCATTCCACTTTGGACAGTTATAATTTCTAGGAAATTTTTCCTTAGCTCAAGCCTGAATTGACGTCTTTGTGACTTCAATCCACTACTCCTGGTTCTGCTTTTTACGAACAAGCAGAGCAAATCTCGTCCTCTTTTTAGTAATAGCCCTTCAAATACTTGAGGACAATGATCATACATCCCCACTAAGTTTTTCCTTCTCCAGGCTGAAAGTCCTCAGGTCCTTCAGCCCATCCTCACATGCCGTGATCTCAAAGTTCTTCACCTGGTTTTCCTCTTGGCACTTCAGGTTGTCAATGATCCTTCCTAAAATGTGGGATCTAGTGCTGAATGGATGTGGGGCCCTGGGATGCTTTCCTTCTCTTAATGTAGCCCCAAGTTACATGAGCTTTCTTGGTGAGTACACTGTTGGCTCATATTGAGCTTGGAAAGCCCTGGTTATTTTTTCAGGTGAGCTGTTGTTTAGCCTCCATCTTGTCCTTATGCAGTTGATTTTTTGAACCCGAGTGTAACACTTTACATTTGTCCCTATTAAGTTCCATCTTACTAGAGATGGCCTAATACTGTAGTCTATTAAGATATTTTTTACTTGTGTCATCCCATGTGTTAGCTCTTCTTTCCAGCGTTGAGTCATTTATGGTTTTGCCAAGCATGCTTTCTCTGTTTCTAGCCAGACTGCTGATAAAAATGTTGAAATGAAAGCATGGCCCTTCCCTGG